AAAAATCCATTCCCAATCTACGCGGTGGTTAGCTCCGTCTTGCCCCCACGGCGATCAGGAGCCATCACCGCTTCTCGCCATGACACCTGCAATGAAGGGGGGGGAGGGGAAATGGGGGGGGGCGCACCTCATCCAGGCCTTGACACGAATCCGCTGTCACAGGGGCATCATTTCGTCGAACAGATCGAAAAGATAGCAAAATGAAATGCACTTTGATGATGATAATCCCTTTCATGTTTTCTTTTCGTCTTTTTTTTATTATCATTATTGTTTTTTGTTATTGTTATGATCATCATTTTCCAAACAATGCGTCTGTGAAATTTCTCTAGCGATCGACCAATATTGTCACGAGGGCAGGTATGATTTCGATGACATTTGTGTTGTTTGTTGTGCCACCACGCCCTTGCCGCTCGGTGTCATGGGGCGCAATTTTCTCTGGGAATGCAGATGAAATCAGTGTAACAAGAGCGTGTGTATGTATGTATATATATATATATATATATATATATATATATATATATATATATATAGAGAGAGAGAGAGAGAGAGAGAGAGAGAGAGAGAGAGAGAGAGAGAGAGATAGAGAGAAAGAGAGAAAGAGAAAGAGAGAGAGAGAGACGTGCATATATATATAGATGACAAGTATATACATGCATACATATATGCACTTATCCGCATATATGCAAGAAAGAGAAAATCCTAACCTAGATCTTAATTATGTTCTTAGACAGGAAACTAGAATAGTAAACAAAAACGCGACATCCCTGACATAAGGCAAAAAACTAGGCTGTTTTAGGCTGTGGAGAAAATCAGAGAATCGATCGTCAAAAAAAATGACGTTTATCAAACAAGTTTATATAGTTAAATCGCATATAAATATATATCACTTTCTTTTGCAAGAGGAGATTGGCTAATAGCATTGTTACATCTTGAATATAAAAATATATATGATTAAAGATGATATAATTCATATTGTTCTAATCATAAAGAACGTAATTTCAGCCGTCGTAACGAAATCCCCAACGCACAAAAGTTGTCTTCACATTAAAACCAACTTTCGCCCGCTTCGGATTGCGTAAGAGAGTCTACGGTAAGCCCAAACATTGCCGTGTTCATTGCACTCGTATTGCAAACCAGGCGTATTTACATATCCTTTGAAAAGGGAAGCCTCTGAATTCATTACGGCAGCCTTTCTCCCTCTCGAAAAGGCTCTCTCCCCCATCTATCTCAGCGCCGTGCACGAGTTAAATCTGGGCTCATTCAGGCGGGTTTCAATGCCCTTACGTTGGCCATACCCTCAACCTGCCCAGTGACAGAAAGGACCTGCCCCCGCGTTCTTGCGCCCCTGACCCGGCTACCCCTCCCGTTTCTTCTGATTTTTTTTTGTTTGTTTCTTTTCTGATGATGATGATGGTGGTTTTCTTCTTGTTTCTCTTTTTCTTGTTGTTTCTTTTATTCTTCTTCTTTTTCTGCTGATGATTGTCTTCTTGTTTTTCTTTTTCTTATTGTTTGTTTTATTCTGCTTCTTCTTATGCTGATTTTCTTCTTGTTTCTCTTCTTCTTCTTCTTCTATATCTTCTTCTTATTCTTATTCTTCTTCTCCTTCTCCTTCCTCTTTCTCCTTTCTCCTTCTTCGGCTTCATTCTCCTTCACCTCATGCTTCTGTTCGTTCACCACCTACCACCTCTCTCTCTCTCCTCTTCCTCCTGTTCCACCTCCCACAGCTCTTCGTTCTCGTCCAAACAGAAAAAAACGAAAAGGATAAGTAGGAAAAGAAGAATGAGTAGAATTATTTATTATTATTATTATTAATATTATTATTATTATTAATATTATTGTTATTATTATTATTCTTTGTCTCATCATCATCATTAGTATTATCATTATGACTAGTGTTATTATTCTTCGTCTTTTCCTGCTCTTCTTCCTCCTCCTCCTTCTTCTCTTCTTCTTCCTCCTCCTTCTTCTCTTCTTCCTCCTCCTGCTTCTCATCCTCTTCCACCTCCTACTCCTACTCCTCTTCCTCTTCCTCCTCCTCCTCCTCCTCCTCCTCCTCCTCCTCCCCCTCCCCCTCCTCCTCCCCCTCCTCCTCCCCGTCCCCCTCCTCCTCCTCCTCCTCCTCCTCCTCCTCCTCCTCCTCCCACTCCTCCTCCCACTCCTCCTCCTCCTCCTCCTCCACCTCCTCCTCCTCCTCCTCCTCCTCCTCCTCCTCCTCCTCCTCCTCCTCCTCCTCCTACTCCTCCTCCTCCTCCCACTCCTCCTCCTCCTCCCATTGCCCTTGCCCAATAACTGCCTTCCCCTCCCCCCCTCTTGCCCTTGCCCTTATGCCCCGGTGACACAGTACCTCGGCGAAGAAATTAATTTAACTAATTTAACGCAGAACTTTCCCGTTCATTTTAATACCGCGGCGTAAAACTTGGCGCACGGTCAGAAAATGGCTTACTTTTTTTTTTAATCGTTGCTGCTGGTGTGTTATCTTGTTCTCGTATTTTTTTTTGTTTTTGTTTTCTTGATTTTAAATGTTTTTTTATCCCTTCTTGCTTCTGTGGGTTTCCTTTTTTTTTTGAGGGGGTGAGGGGTGCAGGGGGGTTATCGTTTTTTTTTGTGTGTGTGTGTGAGAAAGAGGCGTGTGTGTGCGTGTGTATGTGTGTGTGTGTGTGTGTGTGCGTGTGTGTGTGTGTGTGTGTGTGTGTGTGTGTGTGTGTGTGTGTGTGTGTGTGTGTGTGTGTGTGTGTGAGAGAGAGAGAGAGAGAGAGAGAGAGTGTGTGCGTGTGTGTAAGTGTGTATGTGTTTGTGTGTACATGCATGTATTTAGCTATATCCTCTAACATTTCTCTTCCTTTATTCATCTTCCTACCATTTATCTTTCTCCTCTTTCTTGTGCCTCATCCATCTGTCTCCAGGTGCCAGCCAAGCCAGTGATCGAGGGCGGCGTTGTCCGAGGGGCGCCCCGCAGCGAGAACGCGAGGGCGGCCGAGGCGACAGGACGCCCATTGAGCAACGTTCGTGTTGAAGCCTCGAAATGGCCGGTTGGGGGATGTTCTGTGTTGTTAGGCTGTCTGTTTCGTTTTGTTCGACCTTTTAACTTCTTTTTTTCTGGCTTTCTTTTTATTTGTGTGTGTTTGTGTGTGTGTGTGTGTTTGTGTGTGTGTGTCTGTGTGAGTGTGTGTATGTGTGTTTGTGTTCGTTTGCATGTGTGTGGATTCGTTTGTGTTTGATTTTGCTAGATTATTTTGGTTGTTTTGTCCGGTGTCTGTTTTTTTTAAAGCTTAATTTTGCTTATGTTCCTTTATTCCTTTACTGTCTGTCTGTCTGATTTTCATTCTCTCTCTCGTTCTTGCTTTCTCTCTCTCCGTCCTATCCTTCACTTTCCTTTTCTTGTCGCTTTTACTTATCCAGTTATAAATTTTGATATCTGTTGATCGTGAGGCTGGTTTTCCTTTCTCTCACTCTTTTCCTCTCTTTATCCTCTCTTGCTATTCCCCAAAATTTCCCTTCCTTTTCGTGCTCTTCCTTTCTTTGTTCTTTTCTTTTCCTTCTCGCTTTCTTTTATATCCTTTCCCGTCGCCTTCCCCTTCCCTTCTCATCTCTTCCCTTTTTTTATTTTTTTATCTTTCCTTATTTTCCTGCCCCTTTTTATTTCATCCCCTCCCTTCTTTCTTCTCTTTCTCCCCTTCCTTCCTCTATCCCTTCCCTTTCATCACCCCTTCCTCTCTCTCTCTCTTTCTCCTTCCTCCTCACTTTCCATTCCACTACTTCCTTTCTCCTCTCCTCTTCCTCTCCTTCCTTTCACCCTCTTTTCCTTCCTCTCCATCGTCCTCACATCCCCCTCTTCTATTTCTTTCCTTCCATTTCTTTTTACTTCCCCTCATTCTCTTCTTCCTCTTTCTCCCTCTTCCCCTCCTCTTCATCGTCCTCACCTCTCCCATCTTCCTTTCTCCATCCCCTTTTCTTCCCTTCCTCTCTCCCTGATCCTTCTATCTCCTCTTCATCGTCCTCTCTTTTCTTCCTCTTCCTTCCCTCTCTCCCTCTTCCTTTCTTTCTTCGTCATCCCTTTTCTCCCTCCTCCTTCCCCTCCCTCCCTATACCCCTTCCTATCTCTCATTCTATCCTTCTCCTCTTTCTCCCCTCTTCATCTTTCTTCCTCCTCCTTCCCTGTCTCTCCCTATGGGCCTCCCCCCCCCCTTAGAAAGACGGAATCTCCCCTTCCTCTCTCCCTCTTCATTTCCTTTCTCCCTTTTCCTCTCTTTTCCTCGTCTTCGTCCCTTTCCTCGCCTTCGTCCTCCCCTTTCTCCCTCTTCCTTTCCTTTCATCGTCTTCGTCCTCCCCTTTCTCCTTCCTCCTCCTCCTCCTATCCCTTCCCATGCCCCCTCCCTACCCCCCAACCCCCAACCCCCTTAGAACCACGCACTCTCCCCACGACTGAATTTTAAAGACTGTAATTCATCAATCTTAATGCAACTTGCTGAATGACGTTGCAACCCGGTCATCATGTAATCCGAAGACGGTAATACTTTCTTTCTTTGTCATTTTCTTTCTCTTTTTTTCTCTCTCCTTTTTCCTTTTTTTAAAATCCATTCTTTCTGCAAAGAGAGAGAGAGAGAGAGAGAGAGAGAGAGAGAGAGAGAGAGAGAGAGAGAGAGAGAGAGAGAGAGAGAGAGAGAGAGAGAGAGAGAGAGAGCGAGCCTAAATGATAAAAAAGGAGTGTGGATATGTACAATATTTTGTGAGTGTTTTATCCATCGTCTTCTTTTCATATATTGTCATCCCGTATATTGTTTTTCTTTTTTTATTATCAATTTGGCTCACGAATGAGGAGGCCGTAGATGCCAATCCATGAATTTCTCTTCTTTAATATATTACAGATACGTAGAGCTTTAAAAAAATGATATCATATAAACAATTCCATTAAACATATATTTATATAAACCACAACCTTTAAAGAAAATTAACCAATATGTACCTGATTCTCATCTTTATTTTTTTTTTCTCTCTTCCAGGCGAGAATCCAGGTCACATCAGCTACCAAGGTGAGGCAAGATCAGGTCAACTAACATGATCATGGCCGCGTTTTCTTCTCTCCTTTAAGTCGTTTTTTATGCCCTTCCAACGAGGGTAAACTATTTAGATTTTTTTTTTAAATATTGAGATGTGTAGGAAGCATACTGATTAATGTTTATTTTATGCTTCACAGTCTGGGTGGTTTGGGTTTTAGTGTCATCTTTATTGCTGTCATTTGCATTATTGTAATTGTTATTATCATTATTTCATTATCTATATTATTTTTGTTATTATCATTATTATTATTATTATCATTATTATTAGCATTATTATTATCATTAACATTATTATTATATATATTATTATTATTATCATAATCATCATCATTGTTCTTATGATCATCATCACCATCACCATCATCATCATCATTGTTCTTATGATCATCATCACCATCATCATCATCACCACCACAATCACCACCATCACCACCATCACCACCACCACCACCACCACCACCACCACCACCACCACCACCACCACCACCACCACCACCACCACCACCACCACCACCACCACCACCACCATCACCACCACCACCACCATCACCACCATCACCACCACCATAACCACCACCACCACCACCACCATCACCACCATCACCACCACCATAACCACCACCACCACCACCATCACCATCACCACCAGTCTTCCTCCTGTGGGCTGAGCAGATGGCCTTAAAACCTCAGAACGAGATTGATTCCTTGGCGTTCATTAGGGTCAGGCGCGTGTTCTCTCGTCCCTTCGCGGTTTGCATAATCCCTGCAAGCGCCTGTGTGCAAGTTTGCTTGTGTGTGATGTGTCTTTCTGCGTGTGGACATGTGTAGACATTGAAACATTGAAATGAGGGCACGGATCTTTTTCTCCTCTTTTTTTTTCTTTCTTTGTCTGTCTGTCTGTCTCTCTGTTTGTCAATCTCTCTGTCTCTCTGCCTCTCTCTCTCTCTCTCTCTCTCTCTCTCTCTCTCTCTCTCTCTCTCTCTCTCTCTCTCTCTCTCTCTCTCTCTCTATCTATCTCTCTCTATCTCTCTCTCTCTCTCTCTCTCTCTCTCTCTCTCTCTCTATCTATCTATCTCTATCTCTCTCTCTCTCCCTCTCTCTCTCTCTCTCTCTCTCTCTCTCTCTCTCTCTCTCTCTCTCTCTCTCTCTCTCTCTCTCTCTCTCTCTCTGTCTCTCTAAAATAAACATAACGATCGGATTCTCGTTGAAACTTATATTAGAGTCATTATCGGTAAGGTCGTCTTCCTCATTACTAACAATGTGTAAATCATCCTTACGACAGTGGCGCATGTTGGCCAAATCATGAAGTCACGAAGAATGAGAGGAGAGGAAGAAGAAGAAAAGAAGAAGAATCAGTAGTATTAAGAGAAGGAGGGGGAAGGGGAGGAGAGGAGAGGAGAGAAGGAGAGAATAAGAACAAGAGGAAGATGAAGAAAAAGGAAAAGAAGAACAGAATGAAGAAGGAGGAAGAGAAGATGTAGAAGGAGAAGGAAAAGAAGGAGAATGCGAAGAAGAAGGAAAAGAAAAAAAGAAGGAAGAAGAGAAGAAGAAGTAGATGTAAAACGATAAGAAAATGATAATTATACGAAGAAGTAGAAATAGAAGATGATGACGATGATGATAATGGTATTGAAGTGAAAAATAAAAATGGATAATAATAAAAATATAAGTAATAATTATAAAGAAAGAAGGAGAATGATGAGAGCATACAAGAAGGACATGGGAGAAGACAAAAAAGAAGAAGAACAACAATAACAAGACGAGGAGGAGGAGGAGGAGGAAGAGGGAAGAGGAGAAGAAGAAGAGTAGGAATAGAGGGAGAGAAAGATGGGGCGTGGGAAAGAGGCGTGGAGAGGGGGATCAGCAACACGAAAGGAAAAATCACGAAAAAAAAGGAGAAAGAGATGGACGAGGAAGAATTGCAAATGCAAGACGATCGACGATGGGGCAATAACACGAAAGGAAAATCCTCACCAATCGAAGCCCAACAGACGAGAATTTCCCCCGCAACGGACTCACATAAACCTCCGCCTCGTGTGTTCTTCGAGGACTCGCCGGGACTCAAACATCCTTCGGGGAACTGGAAAAGAATGCGGCGCTTCCCTCGGCTGGTGAACTGGCGAGTCAGGTCGGCCGAGGGCGCCGCGCCTTGACCCAAGCTCGGGGGTAACTACACGTGAAATCGGTGTGTGTGAAAACCGCGCCGCGCCGACGAAGGTGAGCCTCTCCGGTGCCTCCTGCTGCCCTGTGGGATGGCGGGGCAGGAGGGGGGGGGGTGTAGGTGTGAAGAAGGCACGCACGGCGGGAGGGAACTATGTGGGATTGTGTACAAAAATGTGTACATACATATGTGCACACCCGCATGCACGAACGTACGCGCATACACTCACACGCGCACACACGCACATACGCACTCACACACACACACACACACACACACACACACACACACACACACACACACACACACACACACACACACACACACACACACACACACACACACATACACACATACATACACACACTCCTCATTCTTCGTCCAACCATATTCCCTTTACTCATGGCTCTCTTTGCCTTGCTGTCCACTCGAGAGAAAGAGAGACAGAGAAAAAGAAAAAGAAAACGAAAACAAGAAAGAGAAGGAGAAAGAGAAGGAGAAGGAGAAGGAGGAGGAGAAGGTAGAAGGAGAAGGAGAAGGAGAAGGAGAAGGTAGAAGGAGAAGGAGAAGGAGAAAGAGAAAGAGAAAGAGAAAGAGAAAGAGAAAGAGAGAGAGAAGGAGAAGGAGAAGGAGAAGGAGAAGAAGGAGAAGGAGAAGGAGAAAGAGAAGGAGAAGGAGAAGGAGAAGGAGAAAGAGAGAGAGAGAGAGAGAGAAAGAGAAGGAGAAGGAGAAAGAGAAAGAGAAAGAGAAAGGGAAGGAGAAGGAGAAGGAGAAGGAGAAAGAGAGAGAGAGAGAGAGAGAGAGAGAGAGAGAGAGTCATGGCGAGGACCTCCCTTCACCCACGCCCGCCAAAGGGGGTGATTTCGCCTCGAGGTCTGTGCGTGGGAGATCCTCCAAATGGGCGGCGAGAGGATGAGATAAGGACGTTCCCACTCTTTGCCACTGATACCCACTTCCCACTAGTCACTGCTACTCGGCACACATTGCTTTCCACTACTCACTGCCACTACTACCCGCTGATACCCAGTGATACCCACTTCCCCTTACCCACTGCTACTCAGTACTCATTGCTTTCCACTACCCACTGCCACCCACTTCCCACTACCCACTGCTACTCAGTACCCGTTGCTTTCCACTATTCACTACCACTACCACTCGTTGATACCCACTGATACCCATATCCCATTACTCATTGCTATTACTTCTTACAACCCCATTGGTACACACTATCTATTACCCGCTGCTACTCTCTACCCGCTAATACCCACTTCCTACTACCCACTTCCCACTATCCATTGGTACCCACTTCCCACTACCCACTGATACCCAGTTCGCATTACTCTCTGATACCCACCTCCCATTACCCACTTCCCACTACTCACTGCCCACATATACCCTCTTCCTACTACCCACTACCCAATACCTACTTATACCCACTTCCTACTACCCACTACCCACTGATAACTACTCCTTACTCCCCAAGCTCCATTGCCCGAGCCGGCTCCGCGTGTAGCAGCTGCTGGGTACGCAGGACACGCTCTCGGAGAAGGGGGGGGGGGGGGGGGGGTGGAGGGTTAGACGTCTATCTGTGGGGGGGTTGAGATGGGGGGGGGGGGTAGGGGAGGATTTCTCTTTCTCATCCTGTCTGCTTGTCTGTCTGTCTCTCTTTCGCTCTTTCTCGTATAATATAGTTGAGGTTGTTTTTCCTTTCTCTTAATACTTTGTGACTGTGTGATCTTTGAGTTGCTGTCTGTCTGTCTTTTTCTTTCTTTATCTCTTTCTCTGTCTATCTTTCTTTTTGTTTCTGTCTCTCTCTTTTTATATCTGATTCTCTTTGTTTCTCTCTCTCTCTCTCTCTCTCTATCTATCTATCTATCTATCTATCTATCTATCTATCTATCTCTTTCTCTAATTCTCTCTCTATCTATCTATCTCTTTCTCTAATTCTCTCTCTCTCTCTCTATCTATCTATCTATCTATCTATCTATCTCTTTCTCTAATTCTCTCTCTCTCTATCTATCTATCTTCACTCAACTTCATCTTATTCTTTCTGTCTTTCTCCTCCTCTCACCTTCCCTTCCCTTCATTCTCTATTCCTTCCTTCCCCTTTATTCTTCCTCCTCCCTCCCATTCCTCTCCTCTTTGTTTTCTCTCCCATTCTTTCTCCTTCTCCTTCTCTCCCCTTTCTTTTCTCCTCTTCTCCTATTATTTTCCTCTCTCTTTCTCCCTTCCTTCCTGTCGTCTTCCACATTATTTCTTCCCTCTCTCTTTATCCCTTCACTGGCTATCTCCTCCTTTATTATCCTCTCTCGTTATCTTCTCCTTTATTCTCACTTTCTCTTTCCCCCTTTTTCCGTATCTTCCTCTTTACTCTCTTTTCTTCTTTCTCCCTTCTATCCTTATCTTCCCCTTTATTCCCTCTTCCTCTTTCTCCCTTTATTATCCTCTCTCCTTATCTTCCTTTTTATCCCCTCTTCTTCTTGCTCCCTTCTATCTCTATCTTTCCCTTTATTTCCCTATTCCCTAATCTTCTCCTTTATTCCCTCTTTCTCTTTCTCCCTCCTTCCGTATCTTCCCCTTTACTCTCTTTTCTTCTTTCTCCCTTCTATCCTTATCGTCCCCTTTATTCCCCATATCTTTTTCTCCCTTCTTCCTCCCCCTTTCTCTTTATCCATCCTTATCCCCTTATCTTCTCTATTATTCCCTCTTTCTCTTTCTCCCACCTTCTCTATCTTCCCCATTTTTCCCTCTTTCTCTTTATCCCTTCTTCTCTATCTTCCCCATTATTCCCTCTTTCTCTTTATCCCTTCTA